TCACATGCAGTCTGTATTACCCCCTGCCCTCCAATACTAAATATTAGGTTGGTCTACTAGTTTCGTACCAGAAACCATCAAAATCCTCACCTCTCACAAGCTCTTAAATTGAAATTAAAGTAGCTTAGCAGACGGCCTTATTCAGATCGACACAGGATTCGAGCGCTTACATTTTCATACTTGACCCTCTCAGAATAAACCTCCCATCCTGGCCATGCTCTTACTAAGAGATGCACAACATTTGCAGATACTAAACAGTTAAATAGCGTGTTTAGAGATGGCTGCTACATCGCCCAAATTTTTTCATCAGCCGGTCATCCAAGACCCTTAAAAAAACAATAGTTGACAATGAATTTAATTAGATTTTCAAACAGTTTTGCAGGTAATTCTGGAAGGTCACAGGTAATTATGGAAGGATCTAATATCCACTGAGATTACACTTCCAACCAGTCTGCCACGTACAATCCACTCTGGGAACAGCGTACACTCTCCAGCCCTCCTCCGTATGCAGTCCTTCAACTAAAGCAAAGGCACGGCACCTCGTGCATCTCCCATTTTAGTTTCCATAGCAATGTCGACGTCCTTTTATCACCCGACTCAAAGACTGACCAGCAATCCCGATGTGACTGCTTTATTTGGCTTGATTCGCTTTTGTTTCCACCCACCACTATTTAATCACGGCACTTGTGATCCTGGCTGAGGCAGTGTGCATGCTGGGAAATTGGCCCGGGCTGAGCAGAACCAGCTGTGCACTGGTCCACTCTACTTCATAACGTATAAATGATAAGCTGGAAGAAAACAATACAATAGGGGCTGTTGCGTTTTTCATTTACCCAGCCTCAGGTCACAACCTTGCGGAAAACCCAACTCTCAGTGCACAAAAGTACATCTTGGACGATCCTACTTCCAAAAGTTATTGTACGATTATGACATGCTTCCTCGCAGAGATGATTGGCCAAGCCATTTGACTTCTTTTCACACTATTAGTTCAACCAGGAAGTGAGTCAAATCAGCGTGTGAGGTCATGCTCCTTTCACATTAAGGGTGGCGCCTAACCAATCAACAGGAGTCGATATTGAGTGGTGATTAAAGAAACGTCTTGCTTTAACCAAGTCTGTGTAGACCGCCTACGTCTTAATTTTTATGGGTGCACAGTGACATCACGTTTGGAACATCTTTCTCAATTAGCAAAAAAAAAATGCAAAGCACAGAAAGAGCTTTGTTCACAAGGGTAAAAACACAGTCCTTTCTGCTGGACTGAGTCAAAACCTTTAAAGTATTAATATTTTGACTTACTAAATGAAATGGGTCTGAATAACCTGCGATGAGAGAATGGTTTGTATGCGTGATGCAGAGACCAACACAAAAGACCAGGAAGACATAAACTATTTTAGGACATTTTCCATAACCGGCAATATTTTCCATTCCAGAAAATGACTGTGAAAACTGAACAGACAAAACACCATAATGAAGAACATACATCAACAACAACAGCAACAGCGGTACATTTACATGAGCTTACCTTCTGACTATTGTCTTATAAATTGAAACCATTACACACATGCTGTGCACAGCAAAACAAGAGTCTGACACTTAAAAGCTGTTGTCCCACCGGTGAGAAGATGGTAACTGCTTGTTTGTATCTCAGATGGTTTGAGACATCGCTGAAATGTTTATTATTTTAAATAATAAAAAACATTACATTTTATGTAAATGCTTTTTACAAGCAAATGAGTCATACGGAGATAAAAAAAACAGTTTTATATACTCAAAGCCTTTGAAACAGTTCACAGGTTTATTTATTTTTCCCCGTTGAATTTTTGTGACATTTGTATTTCACAGATCCTCCTACTTTAATCAAACACTGTCCAAAATCCAATTTCTGCTTGTTTTAGGGCATTTTTAGTCAGTGTTTTTATCAGTATGATCAAAGCATACTCAATTAGATTCAGATCAGGTTGATTGACTTGGACAGCACGTAACGTTTCACATTCTGCCACTGACAAAAAAACTTGGCATGAACGGCATGTTTGGACCTTACTATGCCTGTTTTTTTATAAGCATGGCGACACTTGGGTCGAGGTAAGTACAGGTCTGTCAAATAAATGCCCGGCAGAGGTAATTGGTGGGGATTAGGTAGTGCCTGGACGTCCCATTGGCTGATCTCCAAGTTTCCGTTAACTGCAGAGTCCTTTACATCGCCGTCAGACAGGTCATTCTCTAGGGTTGCACATACTGAATATAAGGTCCTCCCTTAATCGTTAAGGCAAGGCGCCAAGGCCCAGCTGCAATGGACAAATACAATGGGAGAAATGGCGTGATATTCAAATAGTGCATTGTGAGGAGAAACATTGACCACAAAGCTACGCCCTTCCTGTGCTTTGTTCGCCGCGCTGACAGGAGCTTCATGTTAATGATCTGCCATGAAAAGGAAAGGGTGAATGTTTTGATTGATCAGGTCACTCGCTATTCACATAGCCGTGTTGCAGACAAATGTCTGCGCGTGAAGGATTAGAATGCGGTAACACCGAAAAAGACAATTTCTTTGAACCACTGTGACATGTTTAAAGGCAATTCCGTTATTGTCGGCTCGCCAGCTTGTAAAAGAATCTACCGGAACGCAGTAAACAAACCAATAAAAGGTGACCTACAAAATGACGTCACACATTACTTTCACATCTTCGTTTGCAGGTTTCTGATGCCTCCATTAATCCTGAGGCAAATACCTTTAACCTACATGAAATGGCAACACAATTCAAATGTTACCACATCCCATGCCTCAGACCACATCCAGACCACATCCAGACCACATCCAGACCACATCCAGACCACATCCAGACCACATCCAGACCACATCCAGACCACATCCCATGCCTCAGACCACATCCAGACCACATCCAGACCACATCCAGACCACATCCAGACCACATCCAGACCACATCCAGACCACATCCAGACCACATCCAGACCACATCCAGACCACATCCCATGCCTCAGACCACATCCAGACCACATCCAGACCACATCCAGACCACATCCAGACCACATCCAGACCACATCCCATGCCTCAGACCACATCCAGACCACATCCAGACCACATCCAGACCACATCCAGACCACATCCAGACCACATCCAGACCACATCCAGACCACATCCAGACCACATCCAGACCACATCCAGACCACATCCAGACCACATCCCATGCCTCAGACCACATCCAGACCACATCCAGACCACATCCCATGCCTCAGACCACATCCAGACCACATCCAGACCACATCCAGACCACATCCAGACCACATCCAGACCACATCCAGACCACATCCAGACCACATCCCATGCCTCAGACCACATCCAGACCACATCCAGACCACATCCCATGCCTCAGACCACATCCAGACCACATCCAGACCACATCCAGACCACATCCAGACCACATCCAGACCACATCCAGACCACATCCAGACCACATCCCATGCCTCAGACCACATCCAGACCACATCCAGACCACATCCAGACCACATCCAGACCACATCCAGACCACATCCAGACCAAATCCAGACCACATCCAGACCAAATCCAGCCCCTGATGCGTGGTCATTTCACAAACAGGAAGTCAAAGCACGTGGGCCAGCAGATAGGAGGAGAGTGGAGTACTGGAGTGTTTAAGGGTTTAAGGGCCCATCTTTATGTCAAAAGGGAGTGGGCCAGCAGATAGGGAGGAGAGTGGAGTACTGGAGTGTTTAAGGGTTTAAGGGCCCATCTTTATGTCAGACAGTGAGCTGTCTGCTGGACACCTGGAGGCAAAGCACTGGGTATTCAAAGAGGCCACAGGCGTGTCTGCACGCAACCACCATTAACCTGTTGCACCGAAAGTGGAGCAGAGAAAAGGTCAGTAGAGGGGACAGGACAAATGTGATAGGACAAATGTGATAGGACAAATGTGATAGGACAAATGTGACAGGACAAATGTGATAGGACAAATGTGACAGTACAAATGTGATAGGACAAATGTGATAGGACAAATGTGATAGGACAAATGTGACAGTACAAATGTGATAGGACAAATGTGACAGTACAAATGTGATAGGACAAATGTGATAGGACAATTGTGATAGGACAATTGTGATAGGACAAATGTGACAGGACAAATGTGACAGTACAAATGTGATAGGACAAATGTGATAGGACAAATGTGATAGGACAAATGTGATAGGACAAATGTGATAGGACAGATGTGATAGGACAAATGTGACAGTACAAATGTGATAGGACAAATGTGATAGGACAAATGTGATAGGACAAATGTGATAGGACAAATGTGATAGGACAAACGTGATAGGACAAACGTGATAGGACAAACGTGATAGGACAAATGTGATAGGACAAATGTGATAGGACAAATGTGACAGTACAAATGTGATAGGACAAATGTGATAGGACAAATGTGATAGGACAAATGTGATAGGACAAATGTGATAGGACAATTGTGATAGGACAATTGTGATAGGACAAATGTGACAGGACATATGTCACAGTACAAATGTGATAGGACAAATGTGATAGGACAAATGTGATAGGACAAAGGTGATAGGACAAATGTGATAGGACAAATGTGATAGGACAAATGTGATAGGACAGATGTGATAGGACAAATGTGACAGTACAAATGTGATAGGACAAATGTGATAGGACAAATGTGATAGGACAAATGTGATAGGACAAATGTGCCTGAGCCTGAGGCTAATAAAACCTGGAATTTGTCGTTCCTTATCATCAGGGACAGGAAATGGACCCTGTGCCAAAACCTAAGAAAAGTGTCTCTTTCCTTTGCTCCCATAGAATTACTGGAATCTATGTTCATAAGGACTGCCTGTTGGAACTGCTTCCCTTCAACAATGTTGTGATAACAACATAATGATAACAATGTAACATTAACGTATTTATTATGTAAGCTTTACATAACCTTATAATATAATCAGACAGGCCGATTGAGACCTGGGGTGAAGCTTTGGATTGAACCCAGGACATCATACATACAAAAGCATGCACTCTACCACTGAGCCACCAACTCCCCATATATATATATATATATATATATATATATATATGGTCAAGTTTCACTGTAAAATGCAGTATAGAACCATTACTTCATTAGCGCTCATCAAGTACAATGCTAAAAAAAATTATAATCTGGTTTTAAGGATTTAGAATGTACTATTTAACTAATCTTTCAATTTATAACCCCCATCGGGACGAGGCTTCAGATCCAGATCTGTATTTCAAAGTTACCTTCAATTGTTGATTGCATACAGCATGAATACACAAGATTCTACACTGCTAAAATATATTCTCAAGATTAGAATGGACGAAGGAGGGGTTTCTCACAGTGGGGAGCAGGACTGACATGGGTCTGAGGACAAAATTACCTTTAATTTGCTTCCACATAAGGAGTGCACTGTTTGTAATGATATTACAATGATAAACATTGATAAATCATGTTGACATAATGACAGGGGGAAAAGCACAGCCCAAAGAAAACATCACGCTACATCGCATTTACATATTCACCCCATTGGTCAATATTTGGTAGAGGTACAGTTGGTAGCAACTAGAGACATTTTTCACATCTTGCCACAGCTAATTATGCCCTTTGTTCTTTGAAAAAGATACATCTTCGATTAAGTCCAATGGCTTTTGCAGACTTCAGCCATTTTTATTTACTTCTCTGAATCCATTTTGCTCTGTATGTTTAACAGCTTTCCAGGCCCTGATGCAGAGAAGCAGCCCCAAAGCATGAAGCTGCTACCATGCTTCCCCAAACATGCTTCATTGTCAGGATAACATTTTCAGAATGATGATGTGTGTTCTTGTCAGTTCCAGTTTCCAGATTTTTGTCCTAAATGGTATATATTATGATTTTTTAAATATTCTAAACGACCATAGAATTAGGCTAGAGCGTGTTAAACAATTATGTAGACTAATTCACTTAATTTATAGGTGTATAATATTCAATAATGTTTTGTAGCTTAACATGGCCCTGATTTGTCATGTTTCTTTTTCCACATATTCTAGCACCATGATAATGTCTCCATCCTTAGGTAGAAGCTGGTAAATACTTTATTATGAATATTATAAGCAATTGCCAAAATAACAATACGATCCTCCATGAGAATACAAGCAATAGTAAATCTATACAAAGTTATACATAGAAAAACAAAAACATAATATGATGTGTTAAACAATTACTTTTATAAAAAATTAAGAAAAAAAGTACAATTGTTGGGCGCAACATGAAACAATAACATGAAACAATACCGAGCACCCCGTGGTCCTAACCAGCGACCTTAAATAGCCCACTGGTTAACTAATGTTCATCAACATCAAAACAGTGATTTTGCAACAACGCTCACCGAACAAAATAACATGACGCGAACAAACCTTCAACCTTGAACCAAACAGTGCTGAATATATTACATTTGGGTAAAATGTTTTACTAATACAACCTCCTATACAACATCCTGTGAAGCACCTGTACCACCCCTAGTAGAGCCCCAGTACAATCTCTAGTTAAGCCCATGTACAACCCCTAGTTAAGCCCATGTACAACCCCTAGTTAAGCCCATGTACAACCCCTAGTTAAGCCCATGTACAACCCCTAGTTAAGCCCATGTACAACCCCTAGTTAAGCCCATGTACAACCCCTAGTTAAGCCCATGTACAACCCCTAGTTAAGCCCATGTACAACCCCTAGTTAAGCCCATGTACAACCCCTAGTTAAGCCCATGTACAACCCCTAGTTAAGCCCATGTACAACCCCTAGTTAAGCCCATGTACAACCCCTAGTTAAGCCCATGTACAACCCCTAGTTAAGCCCATGTACAACCCCTAGTTAAGCCCATGTACAACCCCTAGTTATGCCCATGTACAACCCCTAGTTAAGCCCATGTACAACCCCTAGTTAAGCCCATGTACAACCCCTAGTTAAGCCCATGTACAACCCCTAGTTAAGCCCATGTACAACCCCTAGTTAAGCCCATGTAAAACCCCTAGTTAAGCCCATGTACAACCCCTAGTTAAGCCCATGTACAACCCCTAGTTAAGCCCATGTACAACCCCTAGTTAAGCCCATGTACAACCCCTAGTTAAGCCCATGTACAACCTACAGTAAAGCCCCTGGACAACACCCTGAACTAGCAGATGTGGGGGCTCAGCAGGGAATTCACTCCACTGGTACTGTTCATGGCAACAGATTGACAGGCCTCAACTTGCTCAGATTGACAGGCCTCAACTTGTTGTGCTGGATCTTCTGAACAGCAGTCGGCCATGGTCGGAGAAAACCAGAGATTACATTCATCGTTGACAGGTGATCACCAAAGTCCCCTGTCCTGCTGTGGTAAAGGATTACAACACGAATATGGGTGGGTGGATGGATGTGCACGACTCACTGTCATGCACTGTAGCAGAACAAAATCTGATCAAAAGTAGTGGTGCCACCGGCTGGTGTTCCACTTCCTGGAAATGTTTATTGTGACCCCAGGGCTGCTCTACAGAAGGCACTGGCACGAGAAAGAAGAAACAAATAAAGCGGTATACCTTCAAGTGATACATGGCTGAAGGCCTGTGCAAAAGTCCAGAGTCCAGAAGGCATGAAAGGTCGTCCCAGTTCTACGATTTCTGGTGAAGAGGAGGAGAAAGGGACCTGCTGCTTCGATTCCAGTTCCGGGTGTGTGATTGGATGCCACAGCCCACTGGACGGTGATGGCTAATCAAACGGGAAGATGCACAATACGAGGGTGCACAGGTACACCAACAGTCAAGTGTCAGAAATGTGATGTGCACCTAGTTTTCACATCTACCAGCTACTGCTTCCTGTTCTATGTATACCAGCAACTGCCACCTGAGGTTTCACACAGAAGATAAATCCGAGTGTGCTTTGTCAAACAGAGAAACACTGATTCAAACAGTAACGCACACAAACATACATTCAGACACACACACCCTGGCATCAATACCCGCACCCACACGGCAACCCCTACACACACACCCACACACACACACACACACACACACTCTGAAATCTTCAACATTGTTCAATGCTATTTGTTTGTTATATATATATGGATATGCCATTGGCTGAACAGATTTTGTGAAGAATATGGAGAAAAACAGGAATGTGAAAAACGATGTGATATTTGGCGTCTCATTCTTTTTTTTTTTAATTAAGCTTTAGTTTATTTCATTGCTTATCACACTGCTTTGACTGTATCCTTTGGTTAATAGAAATGTTCTTGTTATAAAAATAAGAATAATTTAAATGGTCTTCGTCATTATACTTACTTCCATCCTACATGCTATTTGCAAAATTGTAAAACATATTAGCAAGAGAAGCAATGAATTCATTGTTTTTATTACATTTTATAAATACGCATTTAAAATCGGACATTGTTACAAAGTGCTTATATAGAATGTATGTATAAAAATAATTTCTGAAAAAATACAAATATACAATTTTTTATAATAATTTACGACCTCTTTCAAGGAAAAATCTTAACCGGAACACGAACAGTGTCTCCAATATATACTTAAACTTTTGGAATTTGTGTAATACATAAAATCAAACAAATGTGTGTGCTGTCCTGGTATGATGACAGCGCAAAATCAGGAAACAACAGAGAACCATTAGCCCTGTATCATTGCTCCATTAAAAGGTTGGGGTGGAGCAAGATAATGGAGAAACTGCTTTCTCTGTGGTCACACACACACACACACACAGAGAAAGTGAAAGAGAGAGAGAGAGCAGGAGAGAGAGACACCAGCAGCGACGGTCTCTCTTGCAGCTCCCCCAGGCAGCCTGTTGTGGTCTAACCGCTGGAAACTGACAGGCAGGTAGTGGTGGAGCTCAGGCGTCGACTCTTTTTGGGGACTTTTGGGGCAGGAGGCGGGCTGAGACTGAGAGACCTGACCTTGTTGAAACTGCTCTTCAGGCTGCTGTGCCGGCTGCTCCCTGTGCTGCTGGTCTCCTTGGAGACGAAGGCGTCCGGACGACAAAGGCCCGCCTTCAGGCAGCAGCAGCACAGCAGGCCGGCTATGACCTTCCTCAGTTCCGTGCTGCCCAGCGCGTAGATGACCGGGTTCAGGGCCGAGTTGAGCACGGCCAGGGCGATGACCCAGTCGGCGCTGAAGAGCGGCGCGCACTGCCGCGACGTGCAGAAGAAGTCCACGAGCAGCAGGGCGAACAGAGGACCCCAGCATATGATGAACACGCCCACGATCGAGATGACGGTCTTCAGGAGCCCCAGGGAGCGCTTTTGGCTGCGCGCAGACACGACGTCGGCGCTGCTGCGCACGTGACAGTAGATGGCGCCGTAGAGCACGCCGATGGTCAGCAGGATGATGGAGAAGATGACGAGGGAGAAGAGAATGTAGCTCTTGGAGTAGAGCGGCAGCAGGGTAGAGCAGCTCTCCAAGCTGCACACGCAGTTCCAGCCCAGCAGGGGTAGGAAGCCAATGACGAAGGCCAGGACCCAGCAGAGCACCACCAGGCCGTAGATACGACACGTCTTCCCGGAAGACTTCTGGTGCAGCGGCGTTATCATGGTGGTGTACCGTTCCACGGCTATCAGGAGCAGGCTAAAGATGGACGCCGCCAGTGCAACGAATAGCACACCCTCCCTGAAGAGCCATAGAGCTGGGCTCAGCCGGAAGGTCTGACTCCCCGACATGCAGATGTTGACCACGTAGGCCGTGCCGGCCAGCAGGTCGCTCAGGGTGATGTTGGCGACACACACGTAGACCCAGCGGCGGCTGTGGCGAATGCGAGAGAGCACGGCCGACAGGACCAGCAGGTTCTCCAGGATGATGAGGACACTGATGGCGAGAGAGACGACGCCCCCCAAGCTGAGGCCACCCTTTTGGGGAATGCGGTGCTGCAGACGCCCGGTGTGGTTGTAGTGGTCCAAGATCACGTTGACGCTGGCGCCGTCTCTGCTGCTGATGCTGTCGTTGATGCTGTTACGCCACAGGTACAGGTGAGGGCAGGAGGTGGAGTAGCTCAGGGAGGACGGGGCTTCCA